GCCTTCTCATAAGCCATTCTTGGTTCCCCTGTGGGTCCTGGACCTTTAGGTGTATTAGCCCAGATGCACTGGGCTCATTTCTTTCTTATTAACCCAGTGTCAAAGTGGCCAGCTCGTACTGAGTGCTGAGTGCCAGGCAGCCCTGAGGGTCCTTTGAGGACCTGCTCTTCCTCTGACTTGTTGGGTCATCTCTGGGAAGCCACAGACTCCTCACCAGCCCAGCCAGCTTCCCAGTCAATTTCCTCACCTGCCCAGACAGCGTCACAGGGTGGTGAGCTTCAAGGAGACGGGGCCAGGATGAGGCTGTGAACCGTCAGTCATGTCGCATTGCTGTGATCATTAGTCAGGCTGAGCACCCTGTCCAAGAAGAGAAGGTGTGCTCTTTGGGAGGGATGCTTTTGTGACTGTATGGGGCCCACATCCCCTACTGGAGATGAATCTTCAGCATATGCCTCTTTTTTGTTGTTTTTTTTTTGGGCTGTGCTGGGTCTTCATTGCTGCGCGCGGGCTTTCTCTAGTTGCGGCAAGCGGGGTCTACTCTTCGTTACGGTGAGCGAGCTTCTCATTGCGGTGGCTTCTCGTTGCAGAGCACGGGCTCTAGGCGCACGGGCTTCAGTAGTTGTGGCATGCAGGCTCAGTGGTTGTGGCTCGCGGGCTGTAGAGCACAGGCTCAGTAGCAGTAGTTGTGGCACACGGGCTTAGCTGCTCTGCGGTATGTGGGATCTTCCCGGACCAGGGCTCAAACCTGTGTCCCCTGCATTGGCAGGTGGATTCTTAAGCACTACGCCACCAGGGAAGTCCCTCCTCTTGGCAGATTTGAGGGCAGGGATTATGCCTAGCCAGCACTGTGTCCTCACGGAGACCTGCACCAATGCACCAGGTTAGGAAGGCTGTAGGCATCGTAGGATTCAGCTGTGGCCCTGCAAAAACTCATAGCCTCATTGGGAAGATAAAATGGACAGATGGGAAAGAGAAAGCTAATTCACAAAAAAATATGAAGTCATTTGTCAAAGCAGTGGGGATGGATAGCCGAGGTGGTTGAGGAGACAGGAGGGGGGCAGTCACTGGGAGCTTGGGGAGGGGCAGACCAAGACTCCCTGAGGCAGGTGCGACCTGAGCCAGTCCCAGGTGATGGATGGCTGGGTGGCTGGGCAGTTGTGGTGAGTAGAAGGACAAGTATTGACTGCTCCAGGCCATGAGGAAGACGAGAGAAAAGAAACAGGCAAGAAATCTTTTTTAGGGAGCATGAATATGACCAGAAAGTTCAGGGAAGCCGAGAAGGGGGTTAGGGAATGGGAGATAAGACCACAGTGAGGGCTCAGGCTGGACTGAGGTAGACCCTGGCCACCTCTACCCTCCAAACTGTTCTTTGCTCTTCGAGAATGTGTTCAAAAACAGTTTGACCAGGTATCACTCTTTCCCGGTGTTGGCCTTGAGTCTTCCCTCCCTGGCTCTCCCAGTCCCAAACGGAGGAAACAGGACTGCTCCGCTAAGGAGCTTCCTTGGCGCTTTTTTTTGTTGTTGTTGTTTTTTAATAAATTTATTTTATTTATTTATTTTTGGTTGCATTGGGTCTCCGTTGCTGCGCAGGGGCTTTCTCTAGTTGTGGTGAGCGGGGGCTACTCTTCATTGCGGTACACGGGCTTCTCATTGCGGTGGCTTCTCTTGTTGTGGAGCACGGGCTCTAGGCGCGCAGGCTTCAGTAGTTGTGGCGCACGGGCTTCAGTAGTTGTGGCGCACGGGCTTAGTTGCTCTGCGGCACTTGGGATCTTGCTGGACCAGGGCTCAAACCCATGTCCCCTGCATTGGCAGGTGGATTCTTAACCACTGCGCCACCAGGGAAGCCCTTCCTTGGCATTTTGATGCTCCCCTGCTTCTGCAGCCCTCCTGGAAGCAAAGGCCGAGTTCCGTCTCCTGGACCTCCTTGAGTGGGTCTTCTTTCCTTTTCTATTTCCTGTAGATGTGGGGTGAAAAGGGGCAGAGTGTGTCCATCCCCACCGATTTGGAGGGTTGGCCACTCTGTTCTCTCTTCCCACCTAGACTAAGCTTGTAGGCTGTGAGGCTGGGGATCCACACCTCTGTGCACCACCTCCCTGCCCCACTGCCAATCCCAGTGCCTGGCTTTGCCCACAGCAGGCCCTTGACCCTGCCTACCTCGTAGCTCCCTGCTCCCCTGCCCTACCTGATTGCATGGACCCCTCAGTTCCCTCTCAGGAGTTTTCGTCCTGCCTCTCTCTCGCTGGCAAGGGGGATGTGCTCAAGCTCCTTGACTCCTAGGACCCCACAGTCCACATCCAAGCCCTTCTCTGACCTTCACTTGCTGCTTTGGCCAGTTCCCAAGACATCCCGTGTGTCCCCTCCTGTTTTGGCAGTCTTTACATCTGCAGGCTTGGTCCTCCCTGGGCACATCTCTGGTGACAGAAACATCTCTGCCTCTTCCCCAGAATGCAAGCTTTCCTTTACTGCCTTTTCTTTCTTTTTTTTTTTCTTCCTCTGCCCATACTCTGAAACCATGGTGCGTGTATAGAAAAATTATGAATTTAAGTACTCTACTCCCTCACTCCTGATGTTTCAGGAAGCTCACTGGTGTAACACTTGTATCTTCTCTCTGATCCCACACTCACTCTTGCCCTAGGACAAAAAGGGATTGGATTTGATTGATGACTTTGGAAAAGAAGTGGACTGTGTGAAAGCCAGCCCTCCTCCTTCCTACCCTTAGGGTCCAGTTTTTCCACAGAGACCATGTGTCTGCCCTGTTCTTCTTTGCTGCAGGTGTTACAGGGGCAAACCCATGGTTGCCCAGCACTGTGTTCCTGGGTGCTTAGTGCTCTCTAATCCTGGGATTCGGTGTTAGTAACCTCACTTGCCTGCAACTATAAGGCACATTCAACAATATCAGCTTTTCAGTAATAAAGATAATATATTGGTCTTTGCATATCTTATTTGTCAACTGAGCAGAGAATTTTACTAATAGCTAACACTTACCTAGCTAACACTTTATGGACATTAAATTTTTTAATTCTAAAAACATCATGAAATAGGTACTAGCATTAACCTATTCTACAGATAGGAAAACTGAGGCACAGAGAGGTCAAGTAACTGCTTGTGACAGAGGCAGGATTTCACCTCAGCAGTCTGGCCCCAGTGCTATGTTGATTCTTTACTTTTGAAGTAAAGATCAGGATCCTGGTTCCCCCAACCCAGGCCCTCAACAGTGAAAGCACGGACTCCTAACCACTGGACCACCAGGGAATTCCCCCATGTTGCTTCTTTAAAGAGAGAAGTCATTTATTGGGTTTCCTCAAATCCCAATATAGTCTCTTTTACCTGTCTAGAATATAAAGCTGATTCTCCTTTTCTTTTTGCTATATATTATTTGTTTTTATCTTCTATGCCTTGCTCAGATAGTGAGACCAAAGTTGAAAAGGAGTATTTGATTCTAGAGCAAACTGAAAGGAGAATTCTTTGAAAGACTCCAGGGCGAGATTCCAGAGGTCTGTGCGTTGGGGAAGCCAGAGAAGAGGGGAGCAGGACAGCAGGGCATTCTGAACAGCCTGCAGACAAGTAAGTGAGGAGAGACTTGTTAATGAACTTTTTTCAATGGTAATTTTTAATTCAAAGGGAATTCAATTCAGGAATATATTGATTTAATGTACGTAGAATCATTATATGACTGATGCTACAGATAGACTTGTGGATAGATGGGTGCCTTTACTCTGCTCTTTTCACCTCTTTTCAAGTACCTCTCTTGTGACTGAGTGTGTGTTTTCATTTTATTCTGAAAAAGTAGAAGGCCCGTGAAACACCAGTTATTGATATATCTTTATCCCAGAGGGAGTGTTATTCTACTTCCTTGCATGGTGCATTTCCAATCTTGTTCCCTTTTTATCAGGGGGTATATGAAAGTTAAAACAAAAACAAAACACTTCTTGCCCCCAGCAAAAATCTCTCCACGGTACTGAGTGTGGCAAGCCCTTCAGCCAGAGCTCCACTCTCATGGTCCACCAGAGAATGCACACGGGAGAAGTCATGTGGGTGCGGGGAGTGTGGGAAGGCCTTCACGTGCAGTTCCCACCTGATCTGCACCAGAGGGTGCACACTGGGGTGAAGCCCTACGTGTGCCCTGAGTGCTGCAAGGCCTTCAGCTGAAGCCCCTGCCTCCTGGTGCACCCGCAGAGCCACACAGGCAAGACCTATTGCCACACCCAGTGCAGGAAGGCCTTGGGCCAGAGCTCCCATCTTGTCTGCCACCAGACCACTCACACCCAGAAGAAGCACCAGGCCGGCCTCCCTGGTCAGAGCCCAGAGTTGAGGTCAAGGTTCATAATCAGGAGCTATTTTTAGCACATGGAATGTACTACTCCCTTGCTGAGATGGCCCATTCTTTTTTTTTTTTTTTTAAATAAATTTATTTATTTTATTGGCTGCCTTCGGTCTTTGTTGCTACGCACGGGCTTTTCTCTAGTTGTGGCGAGCGGGGGCTACTCTTCGTTGCGGTGCATGGGCTTCTCATTGGGTGGCTTCTCTTGTTGCAGAGCACAGGCTCTAGGTGCGTGGCCTTCAGTAGTTGTGGCACGTGGTCTCGGGAGTTGTGGCTCGCGGGCTCTAGAGCACAGACTCAGTAGTTTTAGCGCACGGGCTTAGTTGGTCCGTGGCATGTGGGATCTTCCCCGACCAGGGCTCGAACCCACGTCCCCTGCATTGGCAGGCGGATTCTTAACCACTGCGCCAACAGGGAAGCCCGAGATGGCCCATTCTGACTCCCACTTAGCACTCTTTCCAACCCTAACGCCCCCATCTACAGTTTTCCCCAGACATGAGGTGGTCACTGTGTTCCAGGTCAAGGCAGCCTTTCATGGGACATCAGGCACGGCACTGGGCTTGGAGGGAAACCAGGCCCCAATCGCCTTCTTTGAGGCCCCTATCGAGAGGCTCCTCCCGAATCCTAGAGAGGCGAGCGAGGGCTGCTCTTCGGGGTCGCTGATGACGCACTACCGGCCGCGCTGCTGTTCTTCCGGTCCGGGCGGGTGAGCCTGCGCCTTGGGTTTCCGTGTACCTCCGGGACCGTGGTCGCCGCCCCGCTGGGAGCCGCGGGACATCACGGTGAGTGGGCGGGGCCCAAGGGAGGGGAAGGCAGCGGCTCCGGGTGCGTCTCGGCTGTGGCGGCGGCCCAGGTTTATGTAGCAAGCCCGCCGGGACCTCGTTCTCCTCGGGTTGCTGCCTGCGTGGCGGCTCCGAACTCCCGGCGGCCCGGCCCGGCTTGCAACTTCAACACTGCACTCACCAGGGCCTGGCACAGAGGACACGCCTAAGAAGATGGTGGAGTGAATAAATGAATGAATGAATGATGATTGAGTGATGGATAAATGATCAAGGCCTAGGACCCGTGTTCGGAAATGAAATCCTGGGGCCAGAGTTCTCGGTCTGGATACCAGCTACTTCCCCCAGCCAGTCCTGCAACTCAAACTTTTTTAAGGGACCGACTTAAAAGCAGAAGGCAAATAGTGTAAAGCGCACTAGCTAAGGAGTCTCGAGACCTGGGTTATAATTACCCATGGTAGAGCCGGTTTCTTGATCTTTATAAAGTTGGACTGTCACTACCTTCTTTTCTCTCTAAAGCTCAGTTGATAGCATGTACATGATAGCACGTATGGAAATGTTAACGTCTAACAACAAAAATTTACTATCCATTACTTGCCAAATATTACACAGGGTTTAGAGGCGGGGCTACAGGATGAGTGACCTCGGAGCCTGCCAAATGGGAAGACGCTTCCACTGTAGTGCTGGAAGATATATGTGTGAGCAGATTTCTGTGGTAATGTTTTAAAACACATTTATTTGGCACTTAATGTGTGCCAGGCACTGTTTTAAGCAGTTGTGCTAATTTATTTAGCCTTCACAGCAACGTATTATCTAGTTTTTAGTGAGGAAATTGAGGTACGAGAGAATAGGTAACTTATCCGAGGACACATTGCTACTGAATGACCCAAGGCTGCAGAAGAGATAGATCCAGTGTGCTGCTGCAGCCTAGAAGAATACGTTACTTGGGGCTAACAGGCAAATCAAGAAGGGCTTCAGAGAAGAGTACATTTAAGTGTGGTCTTATTGAAGGAATTGTAGTTTCAAATTCTTGGAAAACCCCACCTGGCTTCCCCAGAATCCTTCTAGAGGGATAGGGAAGTGGCAGCAGGGAGAAAGCTTACAAGGCATGAGGAGGAAGCCAGATCCCTCTTAGTTTAGCAAGATGAGGATGGAGATATATATGTCCATTCACCATAATACCCGTTTCCCCCAAATCTGGATTCAGATAGATCCTTTCAGCATCTTAAAATCACCAACAGATTATTCCACATTATGTATTTGTGGAACCACCTATACATCCTATTCTGGGCAACTTAGAGGCCAGGGGGACAGCAGACTGTGGCTCATGGGCTAAATTTTGGTCTACCACCTGTTTTTGTTAAAAAAAATTTATTGAAACACAACCAAGATCACTTGTTTACATATTGTCTAGTTCTGTTTTCAAACTACAAAGGCAAGGTTTGCTAACTTTTGGCGTAGACAAACAGCTCAGATGATCCACGACTGGAGGACAGTGGTTGTCACCAACCTGTCCTTCTCAAACATAATAATGCCTAACCCCTGTTGAGTGCCTGATATGTGGCAGATATCTTTATAAATGCTTTACGTGAATTAATTAACTCATTTAGGGAATTCTCTGGTGGTCCAGTGGTTAGGACTCTGAGCTTTCACTGCTGAGGGCCTGGGTTCAATCCCTGGGGTCAGGGAACTAAGATCTCACAAGCTGTGCGGCACAGCCAAAAAAAAAAAAAAATTTAGTTAGGGGTTTCACAGAACGTTGGAGCTGGAAGGACTCGTGGATATTATCTAATTTCTCACCTTTTTCAGATAAATAGCCTGCTCATGTGGGCTATGGCAGAGCATAGTTTCCTGAGTCCCAGCCCAGTCCACTTTGCCACTTTGATCTTATTTTGAAAGGGAAACCAATACCATATCCATTACGTGTGGCATTAAAAAGAAAGGTTTTCTTTTGGGGGGGTGCTTAAACCCCTGAGTGAGATCTCTCATTTTTAAATGTTTTACTGACTATAAAAGTAATTCGTGTTTATTGCAGGAAAAATGAAATATGTAGAAGGATATAAAGGACAAAATAAAGTAACCCATTAAATGACCTAGAGATCAGTTGTTGACATTTTAGTGGGTTTTCCGCTGTCCTTTTTTATGTGTGTGTTTTGTATATATCTGTGTAGCAATAATAGTTTCTGTTTATTGAATGTTTACTTTAGTACTGGTGTATATGTGCATGTTTTTTGTTTCAGTGTTTTGTAGTCTCCTGTTTTAACATATTGTATTTTCTCACGAATATTCTTTGAAAGCATGACTCTTAATAGTTTCATAATCTATCATATTGATATGCCATCAATGTTTACTTGCCTGTATTTTTACAGTTATAGTAACAATGTGATCTTTGTACATAAATCTCTGTGCTTATCTCTGATTATATTTTCTTCACTTGTCTTCTGTGATTAGAGTTATTTACTTATTTCTACAGGAAAACTTTCAAACATTGCAAAAAGAAAGGCCTTAAAACAAAAGTTTAGGGCTTCCCTGGTGGCGCAGTGGTTGAGAGTCCGCCTGCCGATGCAGGGGACACGGGTTCGTGCCCCGGTCCGGGAGGATCCCACATGCCGCGGAGCGGCTGGGCCCGTGAGCCATGGCCACTGAGCCTGCGCGTCCGGAGCCTGTGCTCCACAACGGGAGAGGCCACAGCAGTGAGAGGCCCGCGTACCGCAAAAAAAAAAGTTTACCATAATCTTATTCCTCAAGATGATCATGGCTAACAAATTGATAGATATTCTGAGAGATTTAAGTTTTCTAAAAATAAGGCAAAATATAGATAATTGAAGAAATTTGGAAAATAGAAGAGAAAATCATTCATAATTTATATCACCATAGTGGTGATTACCTTTCCTTCTTGATCTTATTCATATGTATATTTTAACATACATATATAACGTTAGATTGTATTTGAAATTTTAATATCCTGTGTTTTTTTTCACATTTGCCTATAAGTATTTTTCCACATTGTCACATATTTTCATTTTCAATTATCTGATGTCTGTATAATTTCCACCAAGTGGAAGTACCATACTTTGCTAAATTGCTAAGCCTCAGTGTCCATCAACAGAAAAATTGTGTTTTCCAACAACATTTCAGGGGATTTTTTTTTTTTTTACAGGTAACAAAAGAATTCAGCTTGGGTTTTTTTCTCCCACTCTGGGAGGTTCCTTCTCTATGAAAAAGTTCTAACAGTAGAATTACTAGGTTAAATAATATAGGCATTTTTATGACATACTGATGACTGAGGATATTCTGAGATCCATTGCAGGTGTTGTATATAGTACAGATTGAGAATTTTGTCCTGACTTTCTGTACCTACAAAATGGCGATCGTGGTGTCCCAACTGCCATTCAGCCTACAACTTTAAGACCTAATATATTGGGTTGGCCAAAAGTTCATTCGCGTTTTTCTGTAACATCTTACGAACGAACTTTTTGGCCAACCCAGTATATTGCCAGTTAGCTCTAGAAAGATGGTACCAGTTTACATTCCCACCAGTGGTGTGTGAGAAGCTCTCTTTCCCTGTACCTTTGCCCGTTTTGAGTTTTAGCATTAAAGAGTTTCCAACTTGATATAAAAATTGATTCTTCATTCTTTCAGTTCTCATTTCTTTGATTACCAGTGAGGTGAAACTTTGTTTTGGTATGTCTATTGGCCTTTTGTAATTCTTGGTGTATTTGTTGTACTTTGCATTTTTCTGTCAGTTCATCTTTTTTCTTTACTCGTTAATAGGAAGTCTTTTATCTATCAGGTCTATCTACTCCTTGATGTATAAATCAAAAATACATTTTTTAACCCTTTACTGGGTTTTGGTTTATTTTGGTATGTTGTGTGAGGTAGGAATCTCACTGTTTTTTCCAGATACTTAAGCAACAGTCCCAACATAAATTGTGAGTAATCAATTTTTTTCTGATTAGAAATGCCAATTTTTATCATATATTAAATTAGTTTACTTATTTCTCTTAGGGATTAGGAATCTCTAAAATTAAAAACCAGAGTTAAACCTCCTTATAAATGTGTAAACTCCCTGTTGAGGTTTCCTAGCTACACTCTTTTGATGATTTTATCTGTTACCCCCAGAATTTCAGTTACCTTCTTTATGACAAAAACTCTAAATACAAGTTTTCAGCCCACACCTCTGTCCTCTGTTCCATATATGTATGCCTGATATTTCAAACTGAATGTATCTTTTTCCTCCTCAAACCAGTGTTACCACTCTCACTAAAGGTCACTGTCATCTCTCAAGCCCCAAACCAACAAATTATCATTAACTTCTCCTTCTCCCTCACATCTCGCTCCAGTAGTCATCCTGTCCTGTTGTTTTTGTCTCTTAGTCATCCAAGTCCCCTTATTGGACTGCTGAAACAACCTCCCAAGGGGTCCTGCAGCCTTCACCTTGCCTCCTACCTTCCACCCCTTGTACACGCTTTGCTCTATGAGCAAAAGGATAAGTTGTCTGTGTGTGTGTGTGTGTGTGTGTGTAAGTGTAATAGAAGATCTAATCATGTCACATATTTTTCAAACCTTTTCCAATACTTTTTATGGCTTTTTGCTCACTTTAGGGTAAATTCCTTAAAGTGATTTGCAGGGTTATATTTGCTTGCCCTGGGCTTCATGTCTTATTTCTAGTGCCTAATACTTTGGCCTTACTAGATCTCTTTCATTCTTCCAAAGTATGGGGCTTGATTCCTTTTGTATATTCTGTTTCATCTCTCTAGTATCTTCTTTTCCCTCTTCACCTGTCTAATTCTTATTTATCTCTTCTTATCTTATCTATTCTTATTTATCTTCTTATCTCTATCCCAGATTAGATTAGGTCCCCTCTGCTCTGCATTCTACAGGACCCAATATTTCTCCTTTTATAATTCCCTTATTTGTAACTACTGGTGTTAGTGTCTTTGTTGAGCTGTGACATAAGCTCTGGGTAGGCGGGGGCATTTCTGACTTTTTCTCCATTGTCTAGCTCTGATTATAGCCAAACCCCCACCCTACTTCATGAGTCTCTGTAGGATTCTGCATTGGGTCCACTTTATGTCCCTGCTATGGAAGAGGATCAGGAAATCCCAGATAGGATCCTCTTAAACCTCTAAAACTCAACACCGAGGCACAGACCTTGAAGAGAAGTTCACAGGGCCAGCCTTATTATATACTTCACCAGACATCCTATTCTTCCATGCCTTCTGAGCTCTTGATTATGGTAAACCATCTCTCTACCTTCTGTTTTTCTTGAAATAATGCTTCCAATTCTACTTCTCACTTCAGGGTTATACAGAGAGACATTTTTGGATGAACAGTTATGATTTTGACTTTCCAAAAACCAGAAACTCTCTATACTATTTTTGCAACTCTTTGTAAGTCAAAAATTATTTCACAGAGTGTTTTTGTTTTTTCAACTGCAGCCTACACTCTTATATTGAGCTATGCCTGAAGAAAAGATTTTGAATTGATAAGACATCTTGAAGAAAGGACAATCAGCATATCTCTAGGTTGTATCAAATAGAAATCCCTAATTACTATCCAACTCCTTGACATATAGGGGAGGTGGGTGGATCAGACTTAATGCATTAGCCTTGCTATGAGGCCATTTCCCAACACAGCATTTGACTATATTAATTGACTTTTCATATAGATTATTGTATAGTGGAAAGAGTGCACTAATTGACATGGATATTCCCATTCACTTCATAGTTATTTTTATCTTTATAAATAACATTCTGATTTATTTCTCAAGTACTTGAGTGTTTGCTAATATGTCAGTCTGTCTGGCTGCCACTTCTTGGACAGCTGACAAATGGAGTTTGTTAACCTAGAAAGCTGGAAGCCACCCCTGACTCTTGGTGATGCAGGCACGTTGCTGTCCTGACAGGTTTTGTGTGAGTTACCAGATAGTATCCTTAGGCAACAGCTCTATCTCATTTTTCTGTTTACTGGGACAGTGATATCCCCTCCCCCACCTTTTTTTCCTCTATGAGCAGGGCTCCCAGTTTTTCAACCTTGAAGTCTTTTACAATCAAAGCAAAGAGAAGATTTGTGGATGTTGAATATGCAAGGAGCTGAAAAGAGAGAGATTGAAAGAGAGATTTGTCCAGGTGAGTAAGCAAGGGATCACCAGTGGAAGAAACAGCAGGGCTTTGGAAATTTTACAAGAAAAACTGAATGAAGCTCAGGAGAGCAAATTACCCTCTCTTTTAGGAATGCTGGGGTGAATGTGAGTGAGCATCTATTGAGTGAGCATCTCTTGAGGCCAGCTTTTTCCTGGTACTCATTTGATCTCATTTCCACTATTTTGCACTTTTACATTCTCCCACTCTCCACTCTTTGAATACAAACCATCCATGTTTCTTGTCTTGCCCGAATCTTAGTCTGTTATTGTTTGTTTTTTTCCCTTTATCTCCCTGGTCTCTGATTCTGTCGCTTCCTTGGTGTCTGCAGCTACTCATTTTTCATTAATGGTGATCACCTTACCCTGATGCAGATCTCTTTCACCAGTTGTAACTCTGAATTACTTGCCCCACTTGCTCTTTTTTTTTTTTTTGGCTGCATTGGGTCTTTGTTGCTGCACACGGGCCTTCTCTAGTTGCAGCGAGCAGGGGCTACTCTTCATTGCAGTGCATGGGCTCTAAGCATGCGGGCTTCAGTAGTTGTGGCACAGGGGCTCAGTAGTTGTGGCTTTCAGGCTCAGTAATTGTGGCACATGGGCTTAGTTGCTGCGCGGCATGTGGGATCTTCCTGGACCAGGGCTTGAACCCGTGTCCCCTGCATTGGCAGGCAGATTCTTAACCACTGTGCCACCAGGGAAGTCCTACCCCCACTTGCTCTTATTGGCCATTACTCATAGGCCATTACTGAGACCTGTCAAAGTTAGGTCCCTATAAGTTCAGGGGCTTGCACTCTGCCTTGCACAAGAGATACTCACTGTGGTGGTTTTTTTCAGGTTGGGTGAACAAGCCTGCTCCAGAGCAGGATGGCTCTGAAATTGATTTGCCAGGGATAGCATCAAAGAGATCCCAAGAGGATGAATACCAGGATTCTACATTTGAAGAAAAATATGTATGTGAGAGCATGAAGGAAAACCCTCCCAGAGAGGTTTCTGGACCATGCCTTTTCCAAGAAGGTTTTGGGGGAATAGCTTTCATCCACAAGGAAGCACCTCCAGAAATGATTAGACAAGAATATAATTTTGAGAGAAGCCTGCTTTTGACCTCAAGCCTTGTTACACATCTCAGGGTTTCTACAGAAGAGAGCCTACATCAGTGGGAGACAAGTAGCATATACACCAATGAGATTTCAGACCAAAGTAAATGTCCGATCTTCTCTACACAGAAAAAATCTTGGAAATGTAGTGAATGTGGAAAAACTTTTAATCAGAGCTCATCCTTTACCCAGCATCAGAGAACTCATACGAGACCCTACGCATGTGAGGAATGTGGGAAAACTTTTAGTCGTAGCTCATTCCTTGTTCGACATCAAAGAATTCACACCGGAGTGAAACCATATGGATGTGAGCAGTGTGGGAAAACATTTCGATGTCGATCATTTCTTACTCAGCATCAGAGAATCCACACTGGAGAGAAACCGTATAAATGTAATGACTGTGGGAATTCCTTCCGCAATCATTCACATCTCACTGAACACCAAAGAATTCACACTGGAGAGAAACCTTATAAATGTAATAGATGTGGGAAGGCATTCAGTCAGAACACACACCTCATTCATCATCAGAGAATTCACACTGGTGAGAAACCTTATTTATGCAATGAATGTGGCTCTTCGTTTCGCAAACACTCAAATCTTACACAACATCAGAGAATTCACACTGGTGAAAAGCCCTATAAATGTGATGAATGTGGGAAGACCTTCCATACAAAGGCAAACCTCTCTCAGCATCAGAGAATTCATACTGGAGAGAAACCCTATAAATGTAAGGAATGTGGGAAAGCGTTTTGTCAGAGCCCATCCCTTATTAAACACCAGCGAATTCATACTGGAGAAAAACCCTATAAGTGTAAGGAATGTGGCAAAGCTTTTGCTCAGAGCACCCCACTCACTAAACATCAGAGAATTCATACAGGGGAAAGACCCTACAAATGCAGTGAGTGTGGTAAAGCTTTCATTCAGAGCATTTGCCTTATTCGGCATCAGAGAAGCCACACCGGAGAAAAACCCTATAAATGCAATGAATGTGGGAAGGGCTTTAACCAGAACACCTGCCTCACTCAGCATATGAGAATTCATACTGGAGAGAAGCCCTATAAATGTCAAGAATGTGGGAAAGCCTTTGCTCACAACACGTCTCTTACTGAACATCATAGAACTCACACTGGTGAGAAGCTCTATAAGTGTAGTGAGTGTGAGAAAACCTTCCGCAAGTATGCACACCTTAGTGAACATTACAGGATTCACACTGGTGAGAAGCCTTATGAATGCTTTGAATGTGGAAAATTCTTCAGACATAGTTCAGTCCTTTTCAGACATCAGAAACTTCACAGTGGTGAATAAACCTGGCATTCAGGTTATGACAGTTCTCTAGAGACAGTGACTAGGAATCTGGCTGGCGAAGAGGGACAGGAAGAGTTCCTAGAGGAAAGGATAAAGAAGCCTTGGATACTGCACTCAGGAGGGTATTTTGAGAAATGGAGGTGGGAGCTTGGAGAATGCAGAGCCTACTCCAGGTGGGCATCTGGGAATACAGGGTAGGAAATAAGTTCCTACTTTTCACAGAAATCCTTGCTCTTTGCCATTCCTTTGTCTCCATGGCATTCTCATACCTGGAGATGCCATTTAAGTTAGCACTGGGTTTCCCTTATTACACCCCTGCTTCACCCTCCCAACTTGTCACCTGTGTTCACTGGTCATAGGCTGAGGTGCTTTTCCAAATTGATTGTCGGTGTGAAAGTGGCAGCAGCTCTGAGGTAGTGCTGAGTAGCCTGCAGATGCCTGAGGCCGCTCTGACCATGCCACCGTGGGGAGGCTGCCCATCTGTGGAGGCGTTCCCGTGAAGGGGAGATAGAAACAAGTGAAAACAGAATCCTTAATCATTCATCTATTCAGCAAATAAGGGGATATGTGGCAAGAGCTGGGCTGATTGCTACAGAAAAATTGGTGAAGAAGGCTTTTATCAGGGTGAGGGAGAGCTTCCTGATCCTTTCAAGCTGGAGGGTGACTTGGGGCTAAGAAGGAAATAAGAGATCAAGAGAGACTTCTCTTGAATGATGTCAGTTTGTGGGAAGGAAGTCAGATCTGCTCAGAGGGTCACAGAGAGGAAGACCTAACCTCTTTCCCAGAGGAGTATTATCTTACCCAGAAAGAAAATGGTTTGTGCTAGACTGCTAGTGCTAAGAAGCCTCAGAGCAGGAAGCCTGCCTGTGACTGAGCAAGCTACCCACATATCCCTGTCCTAGACTAGGGCATACACCTGTCTCTTGTAAGTTTGGCTGGGACACTAGTGCACAGGGACCAGGGGAGAGGGGCCCACTAGGATTAACAAAGTGGGACTTGGTTTGTTAGCCTTTAGAGAGGAGAAAGCATTAGTGATGAAGTGGTCACCATAATGGGGATGGCTAGGTTTTGTGTAATCATGGCATTGGTGGCTCTAACCATGGATTCATTAGATCTCAGATATTTCTGTTTTTATTGGGCCTCTTTTTCCAGGATATTTATCATTCCCTGCAGATTAGGAGTATCTAGGGAAACACTTCTTGTGGGATGAATTTGGAAAGAATTCTAGAGAGAATTACCTCTTTTTCAAATCCCTGAAAATTGAGATAACATGGTTTGCCATGACTGTGATGGTATTTTATTCTTTTGAGAGAAAGGAAGGGCATGTTTCCCCTTTATTTCCCCATTCTCTTTCATGTTCTTAACTGCTACTCAGAGATTCAGCTCTGGAAGATTAAGTGATCTTAAACTAGCCTTTGACTAGTATTTGAAATAGTTTCTATGCTCTGAAGCTTACATAGTTTTAAAAATATGATTTTAAAAACTAAAGTAAGTTAATTCTGGAATGGTTATTTGGAACTCAGCATCGATTTTTTTTTTCCAGAGCAAGTATCTTACAAGCATTGGTTTGAGCAATTAATTACCAATAATGGGAATGTGGCAGAAATAACATATTTTCCCTCTCCAGCTGTAAAGATTATGTTCTCAAATCTGCCATAGGACAATTCATAATTGAGTAAATTAATATGGGGAAAAATAACCCTATGAAAACTTTACATTTTATGCTCATGGAAAAAAAATATAGTCTACTGAAAGCAAATGTCAATGTATTTTTTTTCTAAATGAAAAAAAAAACACTAAACTCATTGCTAGCATGTAGTAAATGTTCAATAAATTTTTATTTGTTGAATTAATATATTTTAGTCAAACTTTGCCCACCAAAAACTTTAGGAACTTCCTGATATTTAGAGTAATATTTATATGCTACCATCTTTGGAGTCTTGAGTGGTGATTAGAGAGGAAAGGGAGAATTTTCTTGAGGAAGAAATGTGTTGTAGTTTATCTTATGACAGAGCCGAAAGTAAGCTCATCACACGAGATGAATTGTGCCGAAGCACAGCAGTAGAGGGCTGCCGCTCGCTCAGGCAAAACAGCGCCGTCTGTCCTGCTGTGGTAGCTTTTATTAAAGCATTATCTAGGTTTACACTTTAAGACTTGTTTTCTTAACATTTCAGAAATGCCAAAGCAGCAACCTATGTTTTTATTAATTATACAAGCAATAATAGGCTTTCTTGAAAACATGCCGTGCTTCGTCCTTGAGCACAAAAGCAGCACAAAGTTCCCACCACTCTGATTATACTGAGGACATCTCATGGATCAGTGCCCAAAGCACTCAATGCTTCTTCGCAGGCCCCCGGTTTGCCGTGGGGGGGGGGGGGGCTTAAAGCATTCAGGACTGTTCACAGCTCTGGCTTATTCTCATGCCCCCGGTTTGCCGGGGCGGGGGGCTCAAAGCAATCAGGACTGTTTGCAGTTCTGGCTTATTCACCAGTCCCCAGTTTGCTGGGGGGGGGGCGAGCTCATGGGTCACGTCTCCTTTCCATGTCCTCAGTTATTCCACTACAGAAATGGGAAAACCTTAGGGGTGAAAGATGCCTAAGTTGATGTTAGAAAGATTTTCTAAAATGGAGTGGAGAACATGGATTAAGTGGAGTTTTTAATCCTCAGGTTAAGAGTGTCCAGTACCATTTTTACTTCCTGAAGAAGCAGGAAGGAAAGGAATGTATCATCTTTACTCTCATCCTATATTCTCACCCTTGCAATATTTGCTCCTGATTTTCTCTCAGTTGCTGGCCCACCATATACCTAGCCACTCCAGCTTGGCCCCAAGTCTAGGAATTGTCCTCTTCCTCAGCCTTCCCTCGTCATATCCAATCAACAACTATATCCTGTTGACATTACGTAACTCCTAAGTCTGGAAGCCATCTCTACTGCTGCTGCTTTATTCCAGCTCCCTGGTTTATTTCCTAGGCGATTTTTATGTTTTCCCAACCAGTCTTGCAGTTTCTTGCCCCACTAGGCCATCTTTCACATTTCTTCTGGGTGGTCTTTGCAAGACACAACTGTGGCAGCTCTGTTGTTCTCTCTCTGAATAAAGTGCTAGCCTCAACGGGCATCTGAGGCCCCTCATCTGGCCCAGGCCCCCTTTGCCATCCTCAGAGGACATTGCATGTTCTGTTCCATAGTGCAAGTTCCTGTGACTCATCATCTCTGGACTCTACTTTGGCACCTTTGCACATACTGTTTTCTATGGCCTATTTGCCTTCCTTGCTTCTGCTTGCCTGGGAGGCTCCCATTAGTCACTTATGAATGTGCTCAGGCAACATCTCTTCAAAGCTGTTTCTGACCTCACATATTTTTGTATTATTTTTGTGTTTTGTAACTTCATCATTTCATGTATCATGTTAGGTTGTAATGGCTAGTTTACAAATCTTTCTCTTTCCACTGAACTGTCAGCTCCATCAGGGCAGGAGCCATGTGAAATTTATTCATCTTTGTATCCTCAGTCTCTGGCATTTTGTAGGTACTCAATAAATATTTGTTGAGCTCAACTAAAATCAAGTCAGACATTTCTCCATGCCCACCTACAGGTCATGACTTAGGTCCACAGTTATCAGCAGAAAGGAGGTATACATGAGTATACCTGAGCAGAAAGGTGAATACATGAATGTGTCATGAAGCGTTTGCCAGAAGCAAGAATTCTGCACCTTCCTCCAAGGTACAGAGTGTGTGGTCCACTCTGATACTTTTTCTTATGAGATCCTACAGAGAGGATCTCATAAGAAAAAGTAATATGTAGCAAAGAATTTTTTTGTTTTTGTTACAAATTAGGCATTTAAATGTCGCATCATAGTTTAACAAAGTGCTTTCAGATATACTGATGTCAGGGTCAATAGGAAGAGGAAAATCCATGCAGGTGTAGAAGCACAGCTATGTCAATTGGAATATCCATGAAATAAGAGAGACAGGAGCTGAGCAGTGATGCTGGCCTGGCAGGAGAGCAGTTGAGCTGGAAACCCCAACATGGAAGTTTATGTCTTTCCTTGGGCTCTGGAATGATAAAGAATTAGAATGTGTTGCTTATGTTCAGTGTGCCGAAATGTAATTTGTGACTTCAGAAGGACACGGGATGAGGCCACATGAGATCCTCAAAACAACAGAAGGGAAAACAGAAAGATGGTTGGACTTGCCCAAGGTCACACACCTAGTCTCAGGTAAAACTGAAACTCCAGTGTCCTTTCTTTCCCCTCAGATTTCTCTTTACTGGTTGTAATTCTGCTCCATGATGCCTCTTTACTTGTGTCTGTTAGGCCCTACTCCTGAGAATAGGAGAAGCTCACATTAGATCAAGAAGCTTTTTGGCCCACAGAATAAGACCTTACTGCATATAAGTGAGGGTGAGAAATAAGTTGATTTTACATTTTGACCCCCTCTTTCTTTCCACATAATGCAGAAGTCTAGTCTTGACCCCGGGTAGCTCTAGTTTCACTCTCTTGCAGCTGCTATCTAGAGCAGGGCTAGGATCATTTTAGTTTTGTGGAATATTTTTGGTGTCCATTCCTCCAATCCATTTTCCACCTCTCATTGAAAAATCTCAACCCAAACTGCAGTTAAGCCCCAGATTCCTGTTTCTAACCTGCTCTGCCTAGGGTACCCCACTCCAGGGTTAGTTTCCACCCAGTGGAGCCTGCTGATTTAGAGATTCTTTGAAGCCTAAAAGTTAGGGGGGAAATGAGTAGGCCTAGGCTCTGTGGTATGTGGGATGTTAGGGCTATGGAGGAAGAACCTGCTATCTTGCTGAGACTGACATTGGGTAAAAAGAAAGGCAAGCCTAACATTGTTCCCTGGCATGTCAGCTAACAGTTCTACAAAGGGTCCCCTTTTAGCTGAAGATGGTTAGTGATGGTTTCAGTCTGGCATCTCCACTCCTGTTTTCAGCATCCTAAATGGATTCCATGTTGGGAAAACAGTCCATCTGGAAATTTGAGCAGGTAACTGCTGCATCTCATTCAGTTATTAGTTGTTTACTGAGAGCCTACTCACACTAGGGATATGATGGTAAGCAGACAGCCCTATTTTCCTGAGCTTGCAGATCAGTGGGAATGCCTGGAAGTAGGTCAGGTGCCGCATTGCCCATGCCTTCATCCCTGGGATACATTTGTCAGGATGAGCCCTTATGCGCAAATATTCCTTAATGAAGATCAGCAGGATCTAAAGTTTCCCCAAAGGGGGGCAGAGGTGCTACCTGGAAGACTTGAAACGTCCTGGAAGCCAATTCAGTCAATGGGGGACTGGAGCTGGGATTTGGGGAACATGATAGGACGAACATTTATTGAGCATTTTTCAAGTACCAGAAATTCTTGGTAATTTACACGAGTTAGCCTCATTTAATCCTCACAACCCTGTGAAACTTGGTATCATTAAGGAGTGCGCACAGAGGGGTAAAGTAACGCCCAAGTTCACACACTGAGAATCTGAGCTCTTGTCTTTTGGCTGATTGTTGAACAAAGATCCGGAAGGGTGTTTGCGGTTCCTCTGAGGAAGCCAATTATCCAGCAGGTGAGAATGTGTATAAGAGTGTTCTATAAGCTTTGGGAAAACCTTTAGAAGACCTCCAAAGGACCGTGACCTGGAAAAGAGTTTTTAGGAAGATCAGTGTGTTCGAATTGCTGGGTGAATTAACCTGGAGTAAGAGCTCCCTGTGGCGTCCCCCAGTCTCACTTGCCTCCTTATAAGGAGGTCAGCCTCCTTGTTCTGGGAGGAGGTATACTGATGGATTTGCCACTGTTTCTGAGCCGGGGAGGAAGCCCCCTGCCCTCCTAGGGAGACAGCTGCGGTTGCTGGCGCGGCGCGGACTGGTGACGTCATGGCGGCCCAGAGCGCCCAGGAAGAGCTGCGCGGGCGGCCCAGGAGCGCGCAGATGACAGAGGGTGGAGAGGTGTGGCCGGCGGTGCCGCGGGGAGCGCGTGGTGAGCGGAGTCGGCCGTACCCGGCTGCGGCTGGTTCCAGGAGGAACCCAGCCGGCCGCAGCCCCTCTTCATTCCGGCCGAGCAGGGCCCTTTGGAGCGGAGGCCTGGGGACCGGGACCGGCTCACCTGAAGAGGGAGGGGCGAAGGCTGTCCCAGAGCCCTGGTCTGGGAGTCGGGAGACCGGGGTTGCATTTGCATGTACTTGAGCCAGCGAACCCCTAAGTTCCGTTTTCTGTGTTCCAGAAGCGAATACTATTCCTCGCTTTGCCACTTCACAGAGTTGTACGGGTTGATTAAGTATATGTGCAAGTTATCTCTTTCCTTTCATTAAGTTTATATTCCTCTCTAATAGCAACAGGATAGGTGCTGTACAAAGACATCAATAATAATTTAACAGCAGGTACTATTTATTGAATGCTTATCAGTCAGTATTCTTCTAAATACGTTCCATGTGTTAACTCATTTATGCATCATCACCCTATGAAGTAGTTACTATCAGCTCCATTTAACATTTGTTAAAAATGGAGTACAGAAAGAGTAACTTACCCAATATCACTTAGTTAATAAATGGTGGAACAGGGATTCAAACCCAGAGACCACTAGCCCCGAGCCCATGCTATATTTGTTTTCAAGTTTGGTAGAGGAAAGCGGGATGTAATCAGAGTGTTAAACACAGAGTGGAAGGAGCTATAGTAGAGACGTGTGAAATTTTTCCAGAATGTTGAGGAAGTGCCTTGGAAGCCTGAAGAAAACTTTTCCTCAAGGAAGAAATGTAGTGGTTCATACTTGACCTGAATATTAAAATTGTTTAGTAGAGTAACTTAATCTAGTTAGAAGTTTGAAGATAATTAGTTGTTCAGTGTCAAGATGTGCTAGTGGATTGGGATGGATTAGACTGGGAACCGGGTCACTGCCTTTTGATATGGTGGTCTTTCCTTTCTATTCAGAGGGGTTCTTAAAACCTTTCCTTTTAGGAGGAGTTCTTAACATCTTCCAACAGACAACCCTGTCTTTTGTTGGAGATTTTGCTTCACACCGAGGCAGTCTTATTTGCCTGAAATTAATAGGCCTCTGATTGTGGGAGACTAAGTGCTGGGGTGTTGCCCTGCTATTGACTCAGCCTATTCTTAACAAGAGGGCATCTCACTGCTGGACACATAGTAGCTGCTCAGTTAGTACTTTTCACAGAAATGAATAACCAGCTTCAATCAAAGAGGGACTGGAAGGGCTTGATTTGAGGTTCTTGCTCTTTTCCATCTGTTTTTAGAGTCAAAGAATCACAAAGTGTTGGTACTAGAGGAAGCTTTAGATGTCATTTAGTTTTTCATTTCACAGATTTAAAAAGTCACAGTTGAAATTGAGTGACTTGCTTCAGGTCATTAAGCAAGTTAGGGGCAGAGCAGAGACTAGAACCCAGACCTCTTAACTGAGTCCACTGCTTATCTCACTGCCTTTTACTGTAGCCCCATAGTCTTTGATTTCTGAAGTCAGTGACTTCTCCATTAGGTTTGGGGGTGGGGAGGTGCCTTTGGGCTCCAGTCTTATCTCTGGTAGAGGAATTTTTACCCCAGGATGCTTGGTCCTTAAGAGCACCTGCCCTCTTTCTTTGTGCATTGTCACATCTCACTGACTTTTTGTCATTGGTGATACATGCCTACGAGAACAAGGACATTCATTCAGATTTAAAATATTCATTTGGTTAGGGATGGGCTATTCCTGGATTCCCTTGAATCCAGAGTATGAAGGAAGTAGGCTGACAATTTATGGGTGCTCTTTCTCCTCCCTCTGTGCCTCAAATTCCTGCTCTTCCTCATGAGAAGAGTCCCCAGGAGACAAACTGTAGTCACTTGTATTCCTAACAGCTTGTCTCTGGGTAAGTGAAATCTAACTAGAGAGCCCAAGATGGGGCTGCTCAGTAGGCAGACCTAAGGTGGGACCCAGCAGTGACCACTATACCTAAACTCTGCAGACTGAAAACACAGAACCACCCAGAAATGGGACCATCTTACTTAAATCAGATTTAGAGTGGCTTATTGTGAAAGAAGGCTATGGAGTAATTGGTAATAGGATAGATCAGAGTGTGCAGTAATTTTTTTAATATAAATTTATTTATTTATTTATTTATTTATTTATTTATTTATGGCTGCATTGGGTCTTTGTTGCTGCGCATGGGCTTCTAGTTGCAGTGACTTCTCGTTGCAGAGCACCGGCTCTAGGCATGTGGGCTTCAGTAGTTGTGGCATGCGGGCTCAGTACTTGTGGCTCGTGGGCTCTAGAGCACAGGCTCAGTAGTTGTGGCGCATGGGCTTAGCTGCGGCATGTGGGATCTTCCTGGACCAGGGCTCGACTCCGTGTCCCCTGCATTGGCAGGCGGGTTTGTAACCACTGCGCACCAGGGAAGTCTCAGTAATTTCTTATCACATGAACTTAAACTGCAGTCATCTGGTGGAACACCCTGAAACCACTTGCTGAACTGCTAAGTATGATGCTCTAATGGTGTAGCGGTCAGAAACTGATAGTAAATTATTGGAAGACCCATTGCAAAGGTGATTAAGTGTTTCCTCAGAGGGTATGCAATGGGCTTCTGGCCTCGTTTGGAACAAGAGCTTAAGTAATCACAACTGCCATTGTTATTGGCCATCAGAAGGCAGTGTGGAGCCTGGGTATCTGTTAAAGTAAGTAAGAATAGTACTGGGTGAACTGGATTTTTAGGTAATGGGAACTTTTTGAAGAGATATAATAGACTATTTATGTCCTGCAGAATTCAGTCTAGTCTAATATGTACACATAATACATGTACACATATGTGCCCATATGTGCATTGAGAGATCCTAGAAGAAAATTCATCAAAATACCAACTGTTTCTTTTGGGTGGTAGGATTTCAAGTAATTTCATTTTTGGACTAACTGACTGTTTTAAAGAATGAGCTCCCCCCCCCCCCCGTATGATTAAGAAAAGAAAACCTTTTTATTTTGGACAATAAAAATAAAGGAAATAAAGGTGTGGTTAGAGTTTTGGTTTTATGTTTAGCTATTTAAACCACTTAGAGTTTATTTTTGTATATATATGTCCATACTGGAAGTTTATACAGCAGATAAAGATAGATTTACACAAAATAGTCAATATATTAACAACCAGTGTGGTACAAGACTGCCCAATCAAATCAGTCTCTTGGCTGTAAACCATTAAAAAATTTTTTATTGGATTATAGTTGATTTACAATGTTGTGTTAGTTTCAGGTGTACAGCAAAGTGACTCAGTTATACATATACATATATTCATTCTTTTTCAGATTCTTTTCTCATACAGGTTATCACAGAATACTGAGCAGAGTTCCCTGTGCTATACAGTTGGTCCTTGTTGGTTATCTATCTTATATGTATATAGTAGTGTGTGTATGTAAATCCCAACACCCTGATTTATCCCTCCTCCCCATGTTACCCCTTCAGTAACCATAAGTTTGTTTTCGATATCTGTAAGTCTGTTTCTGTTTTTTAAATAAGTTCATTTGTATCATTTAAAAAATTATATCCACATATGAGTGATATTATAAGATATTTGTCTTTCTCTGTCTGACTTCACTTAGTATGATCATCTCTAGGTCCATTCATGTTGCTGCAAATGACATTATTTTGTCCTCTTTTATGGCTGAGTAATATTCCATTGTATATATGTATCATATCTTCTTTATCCATTCCTCTGTTGATGGACATTTAGGTTGCTTCCTGGCTATTGTAAATAGTGCTACAATGAACACTGGGGTGCGTGTATCTTTTCAAATTATGGTTTTCTCCGGATATATGCTCAGGAGTGGGATTGCTGGATCATATAGTAGTTCTATTTTTAGTTTTTTAAGGAACCTACATACTGTTCTCCATAGTGGTTTTACCAATTTACATTCCCACCAACAGTGTAGACGGTTCCCTTTTCTCCACACCCTCTCCAGCGTTTATTGTTTGCAGACTTTTTGATGATGACCATTCTGACCTGTGTGACGTTATATCTCATTGTAGTTTTTAAAATTTTTTTATTTATTTATTTATTTTTGGCTGTGTTGGGTCTTCATTTCTGTTCGAGGGCTTTCTCTAGTAGCGGCAAGCGGGGGCCACTCCTCATCATGGTGCGCGGGCCTCTCACTGTTGTGGCCTCTCTTGTTGCAGAGCACAAGCTCCAGACGCGCAGGCTCAGTAGTTGTGGCTCACGGGCCCAGTTGCTCCGCGGCACGTGGGACCTTCCCAGACCAAGGCTCGAACCCGTGTCCCCTGTATTGGCAGGCAGATTCTCAACCACTGCGCCACTAGGAAAGCCCCTCATTGTAGTTTTGATTTGCATTTCTCTGATAATTAGTGATGTTGAGCATCTTTTCATGTTCTTTTTGGCCATCTGTATTCCTTCCTTGAAGAAATGTCTGCCCATTTTTTTATTGGGTTGTTTGTTTCTTTTGACATAGAACTGCATGAACTGTTTGTATATTTTGGAGATTCCAACTGTAAACCATTTGTGCAGATACTCCAGTGTGTACCAGTTGACTCTCAGCCCCAGTAGATTTGTATGTACCAACATGAAATGATCTCAAAGACACATTCCTTGGTGAAAAAAAATCAAATTGCATAGCAGCATCTATACAACGATTTTATTTATGTAAGAAGAATCAAATGCTATTGTGTGTTAAAAATATGGAGAAAAAAGACTGAAAGAATATACTCCAGATTATCTCTGGGAAGGGGGTGGTTTCATTTGGGTAGAGTGGGGTGGTGATGGTTATAAAAATTACTGTCTTATCCTGTATACTTTCATATTATCTAAATATTTTAAGGTGAGGATACATCCATGTGTAACTTGTATAATTAGAAAACTAAAATAGAAGGAGGCCTCAGGGAATAAGAATGTGTTTGTGTCTCCAGACCATCCAGAGAAGAGGTTGCTCTGATGTGTGGTTCCTGAATATCCATTCTCTGATTCTGTGCACCTTTATTGAGAGCATCAGGTTCAAAGTTTGATGCCGTTAAGATTGTCTAAGTAGTCCACTCTTTCTCCAGTTCTGTGCTTCCTAAGGAGTGTCCTGATGACAACAGTTTGGTTCCCCTACAGTTTTTCTATATTGGAGAGAATATATTAACCAGCTGGACATTAAGCATATAAAATTTTCACTGTAAACTGGTGAAGTGACTTTATGTTTTCTACATCACTCTCCTTGTGAATTTGATTAGTACACATCAGATTTTGAAGCATTTTTTGGCTTCAAGGGTGAGGGCTAGGTCCTGGATCATGATGCTATAGTGAAATTACTGTCCAATGGGGGCTTCTTCCTTAAGGACCACCTCTGTCTTATTTTTATGTAAACAAAACAGTGATATCTTATTTTCTTTCATTAAGCAGAACTCTAGTTTTCAAACCTAGATCCTTCCCAGTTGTACCTAGGGGCTGAATGTTTTGGAGAGAAAGAGAGGTCCAAAGAGACACCTATCAAGGTGAGTGAATAAGGAAGGATAGGTGAGATGGACCTAGCAAAAGTTACAGCCTGGATCACCTTTGAAATCTTGAAAGAGGAACTCTTCAATTATCACTGGTCTGCCAAGGTACTGATTATAGGCAACCTAAGGAAATATAATTACTTTTCACCCATTTTTGAGGACTAGAAACGGTAGGTGAGTGGTAATTTTCCCCAACACTTAACTTACCCAAGATTAATATACTTATCCCTTTCACATTCTCCTGCTATTTATCACTCTGGATGATCCTAAATTACCTGGGTCAGTTTTTAGTATTTGAGTGTTTCAGAATCAATTACAATAGGGAAGTTTATAGATTTACCAAAACCTGTCACTTCTTAATCTCTTTCTCCCAATCACCTATTCTAATCTTTTCCCCAGGTCGTTGTGATCTTCTTTCTCTATTACTGAGAAGAGAATAAAAATCAGGACTTCACAATGCAGGTCCTCTCTTCTGCACGGAGGACATTTTCCTTTGTGAATGTTTTTTTCAGGCAAGAAAATCAAGCCTGATGGCACAGTGTTAAATGACTTGAAAAGACATGGAGGGTCAGAGAGCCTGGTCATCAGGGGTTCACATTAGGAGAAGTTGAAGATGCATGCTGAATAAGGACTAGAAGGGGAAATCCTGCAGGAATGACTGGGAGGACACCATATGCACACAGACCTTTCACAGGAGAACAGTGTTACTCTAAGGATAATCATCTTTGAGAAAGTACCTTGTAAGTATTCTGAATCTGAGAGACAGTTTCTTTTAAACTGGAACCTATTAGACACCCCCTTCATCGTGTTACAAAAAGCATGAGTTCCAGCCAGATTTCACTGCAAGTGAAACATCAGAGACTTAAAAGACAGAAGAAACCTTCCAAGTGTAGTGAATGTGGAAAGTTTTTTACTCAGAGATCGTCTCTTACCCAGCATCAGAAGATTCACACGGGAGAGAAACCCTATGTTTGTACTGAATGTGGAACTTGTTTCCGGAAACAGTCAAATCTTACTCAACATCTGAGGGTTCATACGGGAGAGAAACCTTATAAATGTAATGAATGTGAGAAAGCCTTTCAAACAAAAGCAGTTCTCGTCCAGCATCTGAGAATTCATACTGGGGAGAAACCCTATAAATGCAATGAATGTGGCAAAGCCTTTTGTCAGAGTCCATCCCTTGTTAAACACCTGAGAATTCATACTGGAGAGAAGCCCTATAAATGCAGCGAGTGTGGCAAAGCCTTCAGTCAGAGCATATGCCTTACTCGTCATCAGAGAAGTCATTCTGGAGATAGACCTTATAAGTGTATTGACTGTGGGAAAGCCTTTAATCAGAGTGCGTGCCTCAGGCAGCATCAGAGAATCCACTCAGGAGAGAAGCCCTACATATGTACCAAATGTGGTAAAGCCTTCATTCAGAACTCTTCCCTTGTTGAACATGAGAGAACTCACACTGGAGAGAAACTTTTTAAGTGTAGTGAGTGTGAAAAAACCTTCCGCAAGCAAGCACACCTTAGTGAACATTACAGAATTCACACTGGAGAGAAAGCTTATGAATGTGCTAACTGTGGGAAATCCTTCAGGCACAGCTCAGCGCTTGCTCGACATCAGAGGCTTCATGCTGGGGAATAAAACTCGGGATATAACTAGGGTGGAAAGACTTGTATCAATATGAAAACACTTCTTTTATTTTCTAAATTCTTAAGAGATTAGGACTCAAATCTTCACCTGGGATGAATGTTTTGTATGTTGAGCACAAGGCAATGTGTCGTAAAAATTAAGAAAATAGACTCAGAACTAGATAGTCTTAAGTTTGATGGCTTCTCTGCCACTTAATGGGTGTCTGACCTTACCGCCCTGAGCCTCAGTTTTTCCCATCCTCCCCAAAGAATAATGAGGATACTTACTAGGTTGTCTTGAGAATAAAATGAGTGGTATATAATAACTAACTGCCAGTAATTGGTTTTGAGTGATAGATGTTGCAAAAGTTTATAAATCTGGTTATTGAAAACAAAGGTCAATTTTTTGTTTATCATAATGTATTTTTTCTTAAGAATATCCTTGTAATTGGGCTGTGATTTCATACTTAATCTACAGGCTATTTAAAATATAACATATAGATTTAAATAGGAGAACACATTTAAGACCAGTTTCTCCTTGAAAAAATTCAGATTTAATCAGAGAAAAAAGAAATGATTGGGATTTGAGTGGACATTTTGGGTACTCTGAATAGTTTTATGTAGATTTTGATACCTTCCATTGTTGGGTCTAATTTCACTTCAAGCTCTGGACTTCTCGTTTCCATGAAAAAGGAAGCCTCACTAACTAACTGAGTAAAAACTCGTGTTCAGGACTTTTGTGTGTGTTTTGAGGTGGAGTGGAATGAGGAGAAGACACAGGAGAATAGAGAGGGGGCATAAGACAGAGAATATAAGCCTGTTGATGAGGACGTGGCTTTATTTGTTTTGAAATCTAGGAGCACAACACTAAAGGGGAGCCTCTTAAGGGAAGAGGAGGGTAGGAGACGTTGAGTTCCTAGGCGCCAGCAGGTGGGGCCTACATGAGAATAGCGTCTTGGGGATAAGTGGGTGGGGATGCCTCACAACAAAGAATGGCTTCTTAGAGCTCAAAAGAAGCAAACAAATCAAAGGATACTTTAAAAAAAACATTTATTTTTGGCTGTGTTGGCTCTTTGTGACAGTGTGTGGGCTTCTCATTGTGATGGCTTCTTTTGTTGCAGAGCACGGGCTCTAGGCTCGTGGGCTTCAGTAGTTGTAGCACATGGGCTCAGTAGTTGTGGCTCACAGGCTCTAGAGCGCAGGCTCAGTAGTTGTGGCACACGGGCTTAGTTGCTCCGCAGCATGTGGGATCTTCCCAGACCAGGGCTCGAACCTGTGTCCCCTGCATTGGCAGGTGGATTCTTTTCTTTCTTTCTTTCTTTCTTTTTTTTTTTTGGCTGCATTGGGTCTTTGTTGCTGCACGCGAGCTTCCTCTAGTTGCGGAGAGCGGGGGCTGTTCTTCATTGCAGTGTGAGGACTTCTCATTGCGGTGGCTTCTCTTATTGTGGAGCATGGGCTCTAGGCGCTCTGGCTTCAGTAGTTGCAGCACACAGGGTCAGTAGTTGTGGCTCGCGGGCTCTAGAGCGCAGGCTCAGTAGTTGTGGTGCACTGGCTTAGTTAGTTGCTCCACGGCATGTGGTATCTTCCCGGACCAGGGCTTGAACCTGTGTCCCCTGCATTGGCAGGTGGATTCTTAACCACTGCGCCACCAGGGAAGTCCCGGCAAGTGGATTTTTAACCACTGTGCCACGAGGGAAGCCCTCAAAGGATACTTTTAATGGTGCTTCATGCAATGCTAATAAGCTACTTAAGGTAAACAAGCACATCTAACACTAAAAGGTGCCCTTGTAGGAAAAGTAGGAGATATTTTCCGCATTTCCAGAGTCAGGGATAAAGAAAGAGAAACTTGACTTCCCAAAGTCAAACAGCTAATGTCAGAGTTGAATCTCAGTCTAGATCCTGGTTTTTATAGTACCAAACTCACAGGTAATTTTCCTCACTGAACCTTTCCATTGTGTGAGATGCCCAAATTGTGAAAAACAGAGGAGGAGGTATTTTTTTCAACTTAATGTGTGCTCATTGAAATACATTTATAAAATAAGAGTGGAAAAAATTAAAGTTACATACTTTCACCAAGTACATATATTGAAGTACTTACTTTAATATATTTATTCTAGCCTTTCTTCTCTGCTTAGCTTTTCTTTCTTCCATTAAAAAAAAAAGTAACTATGGGGAATTCCCTAGAGGTCCAGTGTTTAGGTCTCTGCGCTTCCACTGCAGTGGGCCCAGGTTCAATCCCTGTTCAGGGAACTAGGATCTCACAAGCTGTGTGGCCAAAAAAAAAGTAACTATGATTATTATATTACATCTTGCCATTTGATTTAACATAAGGATTTAGCCATACTATTACAGACTTTCTATAAACCTCGTTTTAATGGTTGCTTATTGACCTGCTCATAATTTCCCTTCTGTTTGTTGTTTAAATTAATGCCAATTTTTTCTTATAAATCAGCTAGTCCACTTAATGCAATGCCTGACACATGGTATGTGCTCACGTTAGCTAGTAAAATTATTAACTCAGCAGTGAAACATGTTTGTATATAAAGCTTTTTCATCATTTAAAATTATTGCCTTAGGATTTTCAGAAGGTATGATCTTTAATTTTATTTTAAAAATTTCTTTTTTTTTGACTAGATAATAGAAGCTTATGGTTTAAAATTCTAAAAGCACAAAAGTTAAACAGTGAAAAGCCTTCTTGGCAGCCACCCCAGATAAAAAATATTATCAGTTTTTTGTTTTCCTTCCAGAGATAGATGATTATAAACAAGGAAACGTGTTTCCCTCCTTTTTCTAAAATAGACTTTTAAAGAATAGTTTTAGGGGACTTCCCTGGTGGCGCAGTGGTTAAGAATCCACCTGCCAATGCAGGGGACACGGGTTCGAGCCCTGGTCTGGGAAGATCCCACATGCCGCAGAGCAACTAAGCCCATGCACCACAACTACTGAGCCTGCGCTCTAGAGCCCGTGAGCCACAACTACTGAGCCCACGCACCACGACTACTGAAGCCCGTGTGCCTAGAGCCCATGCTCCGCAACAAGAAAAGCCACCGCAACGAGAAGCCCGTGCACCGCACGAAGAGTAGCCCCTGCTCGCCGCAACTAGAGAAAGCCCGCACACAGCAACTGAGATCCAACTGCAGGCAAAAATTTAAAAAATAAAAATAAAAAAAGAACAGTTTTAGGTTCACAGCAAGATTGAATGGAAAGTACATGGAGCTCCCACATATGTACAATCTCCCCATTATCAATGTCCTGCACCAGGGTGATACATTTGTTACAGTCCATGAACCTACACACTATGAACTGAAAATTCATAGTTCAAGTTAGGGTTAACTCTTTTTTTTTTTTTTTTTAATTGAAGTATAGTTGATTTACAATGTTGTGTTAGTTTCTGGTGTACAGCAAGGTAATTCAGATATGTGTGTATATATATGTATGTGCATATATATATGTGTGTATATATGTATATATATACATATATATATTCTTTTCCATTATGGCTTATCACAGGATATTGAATATAGTTCCCTGTGCTACACAGTAGGACCTTGTCATTTATGCATTCTATATGTAATAGTTTGCATCTGCTAGTCCCAAACTCCCAATCCATCCCTCTGCTGCACACACCCCTGGCAACCACAAGTCTGTTCTCTATGTCTATGAGTGTTTCTGGTTCATAGATAAGTTCATTTGTGTCATATTTTAGATATCACGTATAAGTGATATCATATGGTATTTGTCTTTCTCTTTCTAACTTACTTCACTTACTGTGATAATCTCTAGGTCCATCCATGTAGCTGCAAATGGCATTATTTCTTTTTTAATGGCTGAGTAATATTCCACTGTGTGTAAATACCATATCTTTTTATTTATTTTTATACAGCAGGTTCTTATTAATGTTTTATACATATTAGTGTATATATGTCAATCCCAATCTCCCAATTCATCCCACCAACACCACCTCCTCCCGCCACTTTCCCCACTTGGTGTCCATATGTTTGTTCTCTACATCTGTGTTAAATACCACATCTTCTTTATTCATTCATCTGTCATTGGACATTTAGGTTTTTTCCATGTCCTGGCTATTATAAACAGTTTTTCTATAAACAGAGGGGTGCATGTATCTTTTTGAATTATCATTTTCTCTGGAATGGGATTGCTGTATCACATGGCAACTCTATTTTTAGTTTTTTGAGAAACTGCCATACTGTTCTCCATCATGGCTGCACTAATTTACATTCCCACCAACACTGTAGGAGGGTTCCCTTTTCTCCAACACATTAGGGTTCTCTTAAGAGTCATGCATCCTATGGGTTTGGATAAATGTATAATGACATGTTTCCATCATTATAGTATCATGCAGAATAGTTTCACTGCCCTAAAAGTCCTCTGTGCTCCACCTATTCATCCCCACCTCTTCCCAACCCCTGACAACTACTTATCTTTTTATTGTCTCCAAAGTTTTGCCTTTTCCAGAATGTCATGTAGTTGGAATTGTACAGTATGCAGCCTTTTTAAAAAAAATTTCTTTATTTTTTGGCTGTGTTGTGTCTTCGTTGCTGCACGCAGGCTTTCTCTAGTTGCAGCGAGCGGGGGCTACTCTTCGTTGCGGTGCATGGGCTTCTCATTGCAGTGGCTTCTCTTGTTGTGGAGAATGGGCTGTAGGCGTGTGGGCTTCAGTAGTTATGGCTTACGGGCTCTAGAGCACAGGCTCAGTAGTTGTGGCACATGGGCTTAGTTGCTCCGCGGCATGTGGGGTCTTCCTGGACTAGGGATCAAACCCGTGTCCCCTGCATTGGCAGGTGGATTCTTATCCACTGTGCCACCAGGGAAGCCCCTATGCAGCCTTTTTTTTTTTTTTTT